ATTGCCTTTTTGTGTGTGTGTTTTTCTGATGAGTCTGCTGTGTAGCCTGAGCGTTGTAAGACTAGGAAGGTCATTATTATGCCTTCTCCAGCACTGAAAAAGGAGATATATTAAGCCAGCAGTGACTTGACAAGAACTGTGATTGTGAAGTGGAGAACTCTTCCCAACTCTCCAGCTAAAGTTAATGAAAAATAAAGGATGATTCACAGCAGACTTTGCCTGGGTTTCCCTTTAATCTCCTTTATTCTCTAGTTACTCTTTTCCATTTGCATCTGGTAAAAGCTGTCTTGTGCATCCAAAAAGAACTCTCTGAAGTTCCATTCTGTATGTTTTCCCATTAGCAAAAGAGCATATTTATCAGATCTGGTCTACTTCAAAAAAAAAAAAAAAAAAAGTGCCTCTTCCCACAGTCAGCTAAGAATTTCTATCAGTGAACAACGGGGAAGGACAGTAGCTCTGTAGCAGAACAGTTGCTTTGCATGCAGAAGTCCCAGGTTGAATCCCCATCACCTGCAGGGAGGACTGGAAATATCTGAATCCTGGAGAGCTGCTGTCAGTCAGTGTAGAAAGTACTGGGCTGGATGGACCAGTGGTCTGACTCAATGAATGGTGGTATCCTAAGGGACGTGGGTGGCGCTGTGGGTTAAACCACAGAGCCTAGGGCTTGCCCATCAGAAGGTCGGTGGTTCGAATCCCCACGACGGGGCAAGCTCCCGTTGCTCGGTCCCTGCTCCTGCCAACCTAGCAGTTTGAAAGCACGTCAAAGTGCAAGTAGATAAATAGGTACTGCTCCGGCGGGAAGGTAAACGGCGTTTCCGTGCGCTGCTCTGGTTCACCAGAAGCGGCTTAGTCATGGTGGCCACATGACCCGGAAACTGTATGCCGGCTCCCTCGGCCAGTAAAGTGAGATGAGCGCCGCAACCCCAGAGTTGGTCACGACTGGACCTAATGGTCAGGGGTCCCTTTACCTTCACCTATCTTCCTAACAAGACCAAGGTGGAAATGCTTCACAACCCCCATGAGTCCGAATTTTATTGGTATGATGACCCATCAATTTGTTGTCACATGGATTTTGGATGTTAGGTCTTTGCTGGGGCTCACTTAGGAGTTGCTTTTCCTCTGAAGGCTGTTCAGCTCTCCTTCTTTTCACGAAGCAGCCCAGAAAAGTAGCTCCCGTGTTGCCAAGGCGAATGTAAAATCCAATCCAGGCAGAATTGACAGGCAGTTCCTTGCAAATCCAAACAGGTATAATTACACGACAATAGCTCTCAGTCACTTTACACATAATAATCGAAGCTGAGCTGTTGACGAACTTCAAGCTGTATAGTGTTTCCCCTGAAGAGTTTCCCTTATAATGCGCAGAGACTCTCCTCGGGTTGTAAAATTGCACATTAATGCAGCGAAAGCACCAGTTCTTTGGTACCGCTTAATTCATGGCTTTTGTTGATGTTCCCACAAATGTTATGTGAAAATTGCCGTCATAAATCGCAAACGAGTAACCACTAATGCAATCAGTAAGGATGTTTGAATGTTTGCTAGACTGAGACGTATGGCTATGATCCAGAATATCATGAATTTATGAATAAGTCCCAATGGTTTTCAAAAGTAATGCATTGATGTCTATGTAGGAGCCAAGCTGACAGGAGGCAACCCGATTGATGATACAAGCCGAGGTCTAAACATAGAGGAGATTGGCGGGAGTAGTTCACCATCTGGCAGTGCTGATTGGCTGTGTTTTTGTCCATGCCTCTGATTCGCCTGGTCTGTGCAGTCTGCCGTGTCATGCATTTGTTTTCAGCTGACTGCATCCGTAAAATGCATGAATCAGTGTACATTGTTTACAATGCTGGTAAATGGTAACGGCTTGCAGAGGAGCAAATGTCCCTGCTTTAACTTATTGCATTCTAAAAAGGAGGTGCTATAGATCGGTGATAAAGAGCAGAATGCAATTCCAGGGAAATGTAGTCTGATTCAGTGTTGTGATTCTTAGATGTCTGCATCATCTTCTTTTCAAACCAACTCTTAGCTTTGCTTCTTTCAGAAAATGTTTTAAATTACTGCAGCCCCCACCCTAGTTAGTTCTCATACTGCCAATGTAATTGCCAATAGATGACCACCCCAAAAAACTTAAGTAGAACTACAATCTCCAGCCAAGGACTCTTTCTTCTCTGACCCAATGGGAAGCGAGTAAACTGAGGTCAGCACTTCTAACTTCCTGACTCACTCAGATCGCTGTCTTAAATGCATATTAAAATGAGGGGGAGAATATTATTACACTGCTTTGCATTCCCATAACTTTAATCTAAAATGCTGCTTTTTTTTTTTTTTTTTGCTTTGCTCGGCTGTAAGTTCTAATTAGTTTGCAATACACATTTTAAGTTAATTAATGGCATGTCTTAATTATGTTGATCAAGTTAACATGTAAATTACAGTGCGGTGCTGAAACAGAAATGTAGCAGATGCTTAAGGCTACCATTATGGATCACATGTGAAGCTTAGACCCTAAAGAGAAAGGGTGTGCGTTTTGTGTGTGTGTGTGTGTGTGTGTGTGTGTGTGTGTTGGACTAGCCCACAACTGAGCCTCCCTTAGGCACTCTCTTCCAGGAGTCATTTCTGCTTCTCAAACTTCTGCTGCAGTCCCTAATCGGTATCCCAATTTAAGAACGTAAGAAGTTGCCTTACAATGAGTCAGACCATTCGTCCAGTGCGACTGGCAGTAGCTCAGTCTAAAGGGCTTCAAGCAGGGGACTTTCCCAGAGACTGAACCTGGGACTCTCTGCATGCAAATTAGATGCTCCACACCTGAACTATTGTCCTCCTGCTTGGATCCCGAAAGGCAAATAAAAAGGCAGACACATAGGTCAGGGTAGAGCTGAGCCCCTTTCATTTAGACCTTAACTTAAAACTGGAAGAGGGGGATGACTATGGGGCAGGAGCTAACTTAACTGGATAACTACAGTCATACCTCGGGTTATAGATGCTTCAGGTTGTGTTTTTTTGGGTTATGGACCGCCAAAACCTGGAAGTACTGGAATGGGTTACTTCCGGGTTTCGGCGGCCGCGCATGTGCAGAAGCGCTAAATCGCGGTTTGCGCATGCACAGAAGCACTGAATCGCAACCCGCGCGTGCGCAGACGCACAGACGCAGGTTGTGAACGCTGCGGGTTGCGAATGTGCCTCCCACACAGATCACATTCGCAACCTGAGAGCATCCACTGTGGGTGACCTGTCCTTCTCTAAGGAATTAGGCCATGGCTCCCTAGCCTGCCCTGATTCCCAGTCCACACCCTGAAGGTGAAAAGGGAGGCCTTGCCTCATCTAGGGTTGCCATACGTTCGGATATTCCCGGGTTTCAAACAACGTGTAACGGCAAAATTAGCCGAAATATGGCAACCCTACTCATCACTGCGCCCCCCGGGACCACAGAACCCGAGGTGGATGAGGAAGTTTGGGCTTAAAGGAGGCCCCTATCCCACCCCCTGAACTGGAGACTTTGAGAAGTGACCCTGGGGGCCGACCCATCACCTGAAAGTTGCCTAAAAGGTACCACCAGGCTAAACCAAACTGTTTCTTTTGCCACACCTAAACTGCCCAAGGTGGCCAAATCAGGAAGATTAATCCATTTAAACAACACGGCAGACCATGTAGCATTCGGTTCTGTTATTCAGTGTAAAGTATAAAAACAACAACAGCAACAACAACCAACCTGTGATCCAAAATGCAATTGGGGAAAAATTTCTACATGGCCTCCTGAAGCTCACTGGGAGACTGGGAGAGAGCTGTTGCAAACGAAGAGGCTGGAGGGAAGGCAAATTGCCTCTTAAATAGGGATTAAGCCCTCCCTCCCTCCTCACACCACGTTAGGAAAGTGCCAAGGATTTTCTCATGCTGCCTCTCTTGCTCCAACAGTGCACAAAGGAGTCCAGTTGTCTCAGCACCATCTAGGTAGGCTGTTTGGCTGAGCATTCTAACAGAGATATGGGAAGATGGCTTATACCAGTTCAGACCATTGATCCATCTAGTTCACCATTGTCCCTGGCTAGCAGTAGCTCTCTAGGGTCTCAGACAGGGTTCTTTACCAACCCTACCTAGGGATGCTGGAGATTGATCCTGGGACCTTTTGCATGGAAAGGAGATGTTCCACCACTGAACTATGGCCCCTGGTTCATGTTGCCAATTTATTTTAACCTGTTTCTTTATTTCGACAACTAGTTGTCTCTACATGCTCCCCTACTGCTTTGTAAGTGATGCAGAACACCTGATTTGGTATCTTCAGTTCCTCAGATTTAATATCTCCATGTCTGTGTTAATGAAAATGTAGATTTTTCAGGCTTTTGTAGGTCTTCGTTAATGTGTTTGCACGTACGTATGCATGTGTGTGGGGGAGAGAGAGCACATATATGATACCTGTATCACATCACAGGCTCTCTCCTTCAAAGCATCACATCATTGCAGTGAACACTTTAACAAAATCTTGATTCAATTATCTAATAGTAAGGTGGAGAGGAGGATTAGCAGCTGATTAAATTGCTTACAGAAAATAGATATGATTAAGTGGAATAATCCTCAAGAAACCAATGGCTGCATTAGATAAATTCTGTCATGCAGATTATACTCCTTTTAGCAGGAAAAGTTTCTGTATTTATTTTTATTGTCAAAACTCTAGGACTTTACTGGTGTACCTGAATCTGACTTGGCTTGTTCTTCTGCTCCAGACCTGTAAGATAGGGGCAAAGCACCAAACAGCTGTCCGGCAATGTTTTCTTTTGCTGCTGTTTAACTAGAGAAGCAGGCATTTCAGGGCTTATGCAGCTGTGTTTATGATGCAGAACTTTCCAGGAGGTGTTTTATTAATTAATCTTATTTATCGAACCACTGAGCTGCTGCCCTACAGGTCATTCTCTTCGCATTTTAATGAGCGGCTTGTGATGTGAACGTTTTCTCCTCACTGTCTAAATATTCCCCCCTCCCATTGGCGCAAGGGGCAGCACTGGTGTCTTGACCATAGCTTGGTGGTAAAGCACGTGTCTTGCATGGGAAATGTTCCAGGTTCAATTCCTGGCATCTCCATAATTTAATTTAATTTTTATTTTTTTTCAATTAAAGATAGCAGGTGATATGAATGACCTCTGCCATGGACTCTGCAGAGATGTTGTTAGGCAGAGTAGATATTTCTAAATGGTCCAAGGATCTGATCTGGTATAAGACAGCCTCTTAACATTAATTAGAGAAGTTTTGTTGAAGTGCAAAACTAGATGATAACCTCAGTGTGTTTAGATTGCTTTTTAATGTTGTTCTCCTCCCTGCACTACTGCAAAGTGCTGTGATGGCAGCAAATTCCTTTTAAAAGTTGCTTTAAAGTTTTGTGAACTTGTTCAATTAAAGTGGGTTAAAGCACTCTGTTACCTCCATTTAACAAATCCACTTAAGAAAAAGGAATATAGCCCAAGTATACCTGAAGGAGCGTCTCCACCCCCATTGTTCATCCGGACACTGAGGTCCAGCACCAAGGGCCTTCTGATGGTTCCCTCACTGTGAAAAGTGAAGTTGCAGGGAACCATGCAGAGGGCCTTCTTGGTAGCAGCACCCACCCTGTGGAACGCCCTCCCATCAGCCAGTGTGGTGTAGTGGTTAAGAGTGGTAGTTCCATAATCTGATGAACCGGGTTCATGTCCCCGCTCCTCCACATGCAGCTGCTGGGTGACCTTGGGCTAGTCACACTTCTTTGAAGTCTCTCAGCCTCACTCACCTCACAGAGTGTTTATTGTGGGGGACAAAGGGAAAGGAGATTGTTAGCCACTTTGAGACTCCTTAGGGTAGTGATAACGCAGGATATAAAATCCAAACTCTTCTTCTTCCCATCAGATGTCAAGGAGATAAACAACTACAGTATCTGACTTTTAGAAGACATCTGAAGGCAGCCCTGTTTAGGGAAGCCTTTAATATTTGATGAATTATTGTATTTTAATATTTTGCTGGAAGCTACCCAGCCAGTTGGGCGGGGTATAAAGAATAAATTATTATTAATATATTTGCAGTTAGCAAAGTGAAAGTGAAAAGCACTGAAAGGGTGGAATGAACAAACGCTTAAGAGGAAGATGTGTAAACACTACACGAGCAATTCAGTAGGAATGCTTGTTGCATGTTAAGATCCCAAGACCTCCCTCAATAAATAAAGACACAATTGACACGGAATTTAGTTTGAGGTTATTGGCATAATTTTGGCCACAACTTTATTGATTACAGATCATGAGTGGTTTGCTTAGGCGTTGGTTCCCAGTGACCTCAGCAGGGCAGCACTGACACCTGGACTCCGGCAGACGTCAGTAAGGGAAAACATCCGGGGGGAGCATTGGACCAGGCTCAGTCTCAAGCTCACCCCAAATGCTCCCAGGGGCTCTGGCATGGCCATAACCCCTGGAAGAGGATTGGACAAAAGCAAGGCGAGCCCCTGGATAGAATCATAGAATCATAGAGTTGGAAGAGACCACAAGGGCCATCGAGTCCAGGAAACACCATCAGAGCACTCCTGACATATGGTTGTCAAGCCTCTGCTTAAAGACCTCCAAAGAAGGAGACTCCACCACACTCCTTGGCAGCAAATTCCACTGTCGAACAGCTCTTACTGTCAGGAAGTTCTTCCTAATGTTTAGGTGGAATCTTCTTTCTTGTAGTTTGGATCCATTGCTCCGTGTCCGCTTCTCTGGAGCAGCAGAAAACAACCTTTCTCCCTCCTCTATGTGACATCCTTTTATATATTTGAACATGGCTATCATATCACCCCTTAACCTCCTCTTCTCCAGGCTAAACATGCCCAGCTCCCTTAGCCGTTCCTCATAAGGCATCGTTTCCAGGCCTTTGACCATTTTGGTTGCCCTCCTCTGGACACGTTCCAGTTTGTCAGTGTCCTTCTTGAACTGTGGTGCCCAGAACTGGACACAGTACTCCAGGTGAGGTCTGACCAGAGCAGAATACAGTGGCACTATTACTTCCCTTGATCTAGATGCTATACTCCTATTGATGCAGCCCAGAATTGCATTGGCTTTGCACTGGATTCCTTTAACGGAATACCCTTTGTGCATGGGAGGGGTGGGTGTGACAACCTCCCCTCCTCTCCACCTTGAACCAAGGCCTAACTGCCAAAACATACAAAGTTGTGACGATTTGCTACGTGACAGGCAAAACCCAAGTGGCACTAGCCAATCAGCCAAATGGGAAAATTCCTACCGCGCCCCTGTCCCAAAAACAGATGACCCACAACGGCATAGCAAGGTCATGGCAAGACCCTAAATATAGGGAGGGTGGGAGGGTGATCTGATGCATGAGGCACTAAGAGGAAGCTCAACGCAATGTGCAGCATTTTAAATGGGTCCCCCGGCTGCAAATTATCTCAACCCCATTGGCCAGAATTACCCCAGCAACCAAGGGACCCAATCGGGTTGTTGTGGCTATCCTATTATTATTATTATTATTAAATCTTTATTATTTTTAAAATACAATCATACAACAAAGGTAAGTATAACAAAATTACGCGCAATAAAGAAAAATAGAGAAAAGATAGAAAAGAGAAAAAAAGAAAAAAAGAAAAAAAGAAAAAAAGAAAAAAAGAAAAAAAGAAAAAAAGAAAAGGATTCATCACGTCAATAAAGACAAAAAAGAATTTAAACGTAACAAGAAAAGAGAAAAAAATAACAATAAAAAGAGCCAAATATTTATACAACATCATGTCTTGTCCAATAAAGTTTTCTGAAAAAAAACACTTCCAATCTTTCTCATTATACTTTTTCTATTGTCTTGATTTTATCGCACACTTTTATAACTTTTCCCATACATTCTCCCATTTAGTTATTGTACACAAGTATCATTCAGTTCTGCTAGGATGGTATCATTTTTACAATATAGCCTTATGTATTCCTTAAATAATTTCCATTCTCTGTATACTTTCTGATTGAGGGCTCCCCTGACTTGACTTGTCAGCTTTGCCATTTGGAAGTACTCTATCATGAGTGTTTGCCAATCTGTTATTGTTGGTGTTGTTTCGCAATCTGTTGGTGTTGTTGTGGCTATCTAATCGCTCCCACCCACACCAGCAGTGAGGTTAGTCCTGATGATCTCACAGCAACATGTGCTCTCTGGGAGGAGGACACAATTTGTCATATAACGCCCACCCAAAAAAGAAATGAGACTGAAAGGTCAATAAAGACCAGATACAGTCGAATTTACATGTGCAATCAAAATGGAAGGAATGCTCATTAAACATCTGAAGCAGCCCCCCACGAGAAGCAAGTACTTGCTATTATCACAGGAAGTTGTGTGGCAAGGTCCCCAAGACACTCCCAAATGAAACACAATGACACTTGAATTTTGTTTAAGGTTTTTGGCATAATTTTGGCCACAACTTTATTAAATTACAAGCAATGTGAGTGGTTGCTTAGGCATTGGTTGCGACTATCTGACCCCGCATGGGGACAGTCTGACATTCGCACGCCCGCGAAGTCAGAAAGGGTAAGTCACCCGGGGAGAGAGACGGGACTGGGAACCATGCCTCACCTCTCCCCAGAATGCTCCCAGGGGCTCTTGCGTGGCCCTAGCCCCTTGACAGGGGTTTGGGCAAAAGCATGGCGAGCCCCTGGGTTCCTTTAATGGAAAACCCTTGCAGCATCAGCACTTTTGGAGGGGCAGGCACAGCCAAATCCATACCCCTCCACCAACCAATTCCCAAACCAATGCCTAACCACAACCTTACAAGTTGTGACGATTTGCTACACAGTAGGCAAAAACCAAATGGCTCCAGCTAATCAGCCAAGTGGACAAAATTCCTACCGGGCCTCTGCCCCAAAAGCAGATGACCCCATGGCAGGCATAGCAAGGTCAAGCAAACAGCCTAAAATTAGGGAGGGAGGGTGGGCGGGTGATCCAATGCGTGCAGCAAAATGAGGAAGCTCAACACTGCGTGCAGGGTATTTAAAGACTAGGGCTGTCAATCATGAAAAGGCAACATATAAATCTCCCCAGTAACAGGCAGCCCCTGTTAAAGATGGCCAGACTCTTTCCCACCCAGCAACAGTGGGGGTGTCTTGTGAGCCCCCACCGCAACACGTGTTCTCCATGTGGGAGAACACGCTTTCCGGTTATCTTTCCCTCCCTGGAAGTATTCTTACCCCCAGATCAGTCCTGGGAGCAGAATGGTCAGGCCAGGAAGACTTGCCAACTCCTGCCACACAGACTGCACACACACCACACCTTTAACGCACAACACCCCCCCAAAAAAATCCTGGAATTGTTGTTTGTGATGGGTGCTAGGAACTGTAGTTCTGTGAGGGGTAAACTACAATTCCCAGGATTGCTGGGCGGGGAGAGTCCCTCAGACAGCTGACTGTGACTGAAGTTTCTTTTCCAGGTTTTTGTTCTGCCCCACCCACCTTTTAAAACTTCTTAATGAACTCAAGGCATTGCAGTGCAGAGGCAATCTGTAATATGCAACAGATGTCCAAAGCGGAAATCTGCAATATGCAACAGATGTCCAAAGCAGACAAGTGGAAAGAGCTTCACAATTTCTCCGCCGCCACAGCTAGCCACTAATGGAATCCCCACCAGAGTTTTAAAAGGTCTCTATAAAGTAGGACTGAATACTTGATCAAATTCCTCATTATATAATGTTAGCCATTTGAGATTAAAATACAATTACAAACATCTCTGGAAATAAAACGAATTGATTTCCCTACCTCTGTGGGCTACTTGACACATAATGGATTGAGAGCAAGAATCTATTCACTGTTCCAAAGCAGCTAGGCATTACAGGAAGGGTCAGGGACCTGTTGGAGCCTGCGGGCCACATTCATGAATAACTTTCTCATGAATAACCTTCCAGGGACCACATGCCTCTGGCAGGCCAAGAAGCAACACGTGCAGGCTTTTCACATACCAAAATAGTATTGTGAAGAAGACTCAGAGATCCAGGTATGATGGGGAGGGCGAGGTAGCTAGAACCGCCACTGGCACTGGCAAGGAGTTGCCAGCTTTCCTAGTGCTCCTCCAGATGATTGGTTTATTCACCCTGATCTGCTTGC